ATGGGGATGAAGGACCGGCCGGGGGGATGGAGCGGGAAGAATTGGGAGCGCGGGGATGGGGATGAAGGACCGGCCGGGGGGATGGAGCGGGAAGAATTGGGAGCGCGGGGAAGGGGATGAAGGACCGGCCGGGGGGATGGAGGGGGAGCCGGGCGAGGGAGCCGCAGGGCGAGGACGGAGCGGGGCGATGAGGATGGGGCGGGGGGACGAGGGTGGCTCAGGGGGAAGAAGGACGGAGCCGGAAGGATGAAGGACGGAGCGGAAAGGACGGAGCGGGAGGATGAGGATGGAGCCGGTGGGATGAAGGGCGGAGAAGGGAGGATGGAGACGGAGACACGAGGATGGGACCGGAGGGATGAAGGACGGAGCGGGAGGGAGGGGTGCGGGATGGGAGGATGAGGATGGAGCGAGGGGATGAAGGACAGACCCGGAGGATGAGGATGGAGGGGGGGAATGAGGAATGGAGTGGGAATGATGGAGCTGGAGGATGAGGACGGAGCGGGAGCCATGGAGGACAGAGCAGGAGGGATGAGGATGGAGCGGGGGGAGCCATGGAGGACAGAGCAGGAGGGATGAGGATGGAGCGGGGGATGAAGGACGGGCTGGAATGACGGAGCCCGAGGATGAGGACGATGATGGAGCGGGAGCGCTGCAGGACGCGGGCCCGGCTCTCGGCAGCCGCCACCGCCCGCGGCTCTGGGCCCGGCACAGCCAGGGGGCTCCGGCACGGCCCCCCAGGGAGGGACTTTGGGGACCCCACCTCGGGGCCGCCCCTCCCTCACCCCCAGGAGCCCCAGGGGGGTCGGCGGCGGGTTGTTCCCCACCCCAGCCCTGTACTGGGGGGACTGGGGGGACTGAGCCTCACCCCCCCCCAGCACCATCCCACCCCCGGGACCACCGCGCGGGGAAACTGAGGCACAGCCCAAGGTCACCCCGTCCCGATGTCCCCGGGGGGCCACTGTCGCCTGCCGGGGGGATCGAAGGGACACAGCCCAGTGTCACCTCCCCCTGGGCCGCAGGAGCTCAGTCGGGGGGACCCCAAAATGGGATAAGGGTCCATTTGGGGGGGGGGAATTAAGGCATCCTCTCCAGGGGGTTCTGGGGGACCGTGTGCCAGGTGGGAGTGTGAGGGGACCCCAAAACACCCCCCCGAAGTGTGGAGGTGTCCCGGCCAGGCAGGGTTGGGGAAGGGCTGCGTTAAGGGGGTCCCAGTAGCCCCCCCCGTTATAGGCCAGAATCACCCTCCAAAATGACTCGGGGGGGTGGAAGGGCAGTACGGGACCCCCTTGGCGGGGTGACCCCCCCGAAGGAACCTTTCAGGAGTTCCTTCAGTACGTTGTGGGGAGGGGGGGCTTGGACCGAACCATCTCAGAGTGGGGGGGGGGCAGCGGCACCTGCCCCGCAAATACCCCCGCCAGGCCCCGCCCCCTCCCGGCACGCCCCGCGCCGCCCCGCCCCCTCCCCTATATAACACCGGGGGCGGGGGGGGGCGGTGCTGCAGGTTTGGGGGGTCCCGTGGGATTCGGCTGCTCCCTCCCTATGGATCCACCCCTGGGGGGGCAAGGTAATATGGGGGGGGTTCAGGTAACGGCAGAGGGGTCCCAGGTGACATGGGGAGGATCCCAAGTAATGGGGAAAGGGGTCCAGGTAATATGGGGGGGTTCCACAAGGCGGTTTTGGGGGGTTTGGGGAGGGAGAAGGGGCTGCACCCCCCTCACCCCCTCGGGTGCGCAGTGGGGAGCTGAGCACCCCCAAACTCGGGGACTCCCTGGAGAGGGGGCTGTAAGGGGGTGTGTGCTCCCCCCACCCAGTGCAGGGGTCCCTCTGCGTTGTGGGGGTCTGGCTTGGGGTCCCCCCTTGATGCAGCTGCAGCCTTATTGCCCCCCCCTCCTCTGAGAGGGGTTTGAGGAGGGGGAGCTGCTGGTGTCCCCCCCAGTGTCCCCAGACCCTGGGGAGCCCCCCCAAACTACTGCTTTGGGTGGGGGTCACCCTGTTCTCCCCTCGGATGGGTGAGGGGTGACACCACCCCCCGGGCAGTTCCCTGGGTGACACCCCTTCCCCAGCCTGGACTGGCCCTGGGGGTCCGTGGCACTGGGGGAGGGGGTCTCCCCTCCTCGTGGTGACTGGGGGGGTCTGTGGCACTGAGGGCTGCCCCCTCTCTCCGCAGCCCCCCCGCCGATGCCGGCCAAGGAGGAGGTCCGTCCCCCCCCCCGGCCCGGGCCCCGCACACCCCCGCTCGGCCCGCCGCCCCCTCGCCGCCCCTCCCC